TCATGATCTCACGGTTCACAGGTTTGAGCCCTGCGTCGGGCTCTGTGGTGACAGCTCAGAGCCTGTTTGGGATTCTCTCTCTCTCTCTATCCCTCCTCCATTTGCACATACGCACACACTCTCTCTCAAAATAAATACGTAAGCAAATAAAATCTTAAAGCGTACAGTTTGGTGGGTTTTGGTATTCACAGGGCTGTGAAGCCATCACCACAGTCCAATTTACAACACTGTCATCACCCAGAAGAGACCGCACTCATCAGTAGGCACCCTGTGTCCCGGGATGTTGTTTATCTGTACATCTACCCATGCACCAATATCACAGTGTCTTCGTTACTGTAGCTTTTCAGTATGTTGTACAATTGGAAATGTTTCTACATATGACCCAGGAATGTCTCCACTTAGGTGTTTTTCAGAGGTAGGCACATGCATATGTTTTCTTATTGTCCCTTCTTTCCTACTGCACAGACACTTACTCTTTTCCTGGATGCGTTACATCCAGAAAGCCCTGCATCACTTCTCCACACGACCTACATGTTAATTATCCTTCGTTCTGTCATCACCCATGCTCGGGCCTTAGATAGTTTCCGGTGTGCTGGCAACGATAGATGACTTGTCAATGAAGAACCACGGGCATGTATGTTGTTGTACCGTGAGAGGCGTTAGGTGAGCTGGCCTCTGACCGTTCGGTAGAGCTCTCTCATGAAGCCATCTTGGTGCTTTTTTGAGGGGTAGCTCCCTGATGAATATCTGAGTTTCTTCTATGGAATTGGTCCCTTTAACCCTTGTAGCTCTTTCGGGGTTGATTTTGGTAAATTTTTTTTCCAGAAAAGTATTCATTTCATCTAAGCTTCCAACTTCATTTGCATAGAGGTCTCGGCAAGTTTCTTAAGTGACTCAAAGGAGAAAACTCGAGTTCAAATTTTAAGAGGGCTTTGGGGGTAACTGTGGCTGTGCGTATAACCCCATGGTGACCATCTTCCTTCTTGTCTCCCATGGTCCCCGTGTGCCAAGGAGTTCTGATAAATGAAATCATGCTTAAAATGTAAAATGTAGGGGCGCCTGGGTGGCATGGTCCATTAAGCGCCCAACTCCTGGTTTCGGCTCAGGTCATGATCTCACGGTTCATGAATTCAAGCCCCACATCGGGCTCTGTGCCGAGTGTGGAACCTGCCTGGGATTCGCTCTCTCCCTCTCTCTCTGCCCCTCCACCACTCATGCTTTCTGTCTGACTCGAAATAAATTTTTTTAAAAACTAAAAAAAAAAAGAGAACATGACATTCTTATTACGTTCTAAAAGTGCAGCTCTAACCTTTCATCATCTCTTGTGGAGGAGGTCCGTATAGAGCAAAAAGAGAAAACGCATTTCATTATTGCATATGCAAATCTGAATGGATATATTATTTATGTATTATATGAAATATTATATTTATAACAGGTGTACCCATCTGTGGGTTGGCCTTGGCAAGATGACTTTGAATTCATTGGGAAACTTTTCTGAAATACCTTGAATTCACCTTTACTGTTGCCTGTTTTATAGTTTTTTGTCAGGCAACTGACACTTTCTTTTTACTTAATTTTACATTTCTTTCCAAACACCACACAAATGAGCTTTAAAAGTCACCTCTGGGGGGCTCCTGGGCGGCTCAGTCGGTTGAGAGTCCAACTCTTGATTTGGACTGAGGTCATGTGATCTCACGGTTCATGGGATGGAGCCCCCTGTCGGGCTCCGTGCTGACAGTGTGGAGCCTGCTTGGGATTCTCTCTTTCTGCCCTTCCCCACACTCTCTCCCTCTCTCAAAATAAACTTAAAAAAATAAATAAATAAAATCAGTTGAGCGGATCTGTGTTCTCTGGCTCTGGGACTTTGTCAGAACATGAGGCAAGGCTGTGGTTAGCTTGCAAATGAAAGTAATGCCCCAGTCGGGAGAAGGTTGGGATCAGAGTGGGAGCCGATGCGTCTGTGCTGCCTGCCACCAACGTTCCAATTTCTTATCTGGTTACATTTGCATTCGATTTACGATTCATGAATTTTCTATATATTTTATTTCACAACACTATGTCAGTTTTTAAAACTAGAAGAGGCAGGAAAGGTACAGTGTGATTTCCTTGGAAATTTTTTCAAGACATCTGGGGGCCAGTAGGAAAAGCTTTTATGATTACTGTTTCTGAGTAGCATAAAAGTACCATGTGCCAGATCATGCAGTACCTGGACGTGTCTAGACAGGGGCTTCTGGTTATTTAGCTTCCTTTCATGAGGTGGATCCCCTCCCTTCCCCTGAGCGGGCCGTTGTACCCAGAGACCAGTGTTTCCATGCACTGATGATGTTTACGTGTCTGAAACAGGCAAGTTTAAAACCACAAAAATCACAGTCTTAAAAGACAAATTTGATTCCAGGCCTGAAAGACAATTCACTGTTGAATCTCATTCTTCATCGGGCTGCCCCACCCACTCCCCCGCGCCGTCGTGCTGCACAGCCCAGGGAGGAACGGGGTTCGAGCACTCACCTCCAGCAGCCCTGCTGGGTCCTGTTCCGAGCAGACTAGTCCTTTTAGCAGCATGTAGGGGACTCCACAGGACTAAGACGTGTTTCCAGCGACTTGCAAGTCCTGGGGCAGTTCCCGCAAAACAGCCTTAGGACTGGAGGCAGATGCCCACAGGTGTGGGAGAGCCGGCCACCTGCACTTTGCTCCCCGGGGTGTCCGCTGGGAGGGCCAGAGCGTTCACCGCAGGCTTCCATCACGTGCATCACCCACTGCAGACAATACTAGAATATTTCTGCCTGGCTGCTCCGGGCCCAAGCTCCCCATGCTCTTGCCAGACATCACCCTGGCTCTTTGTTGAGTTCGCCCTTGTAAACTCCTAAGCTGTGATGTGCATATTAGCAGTCCCGTTTTCCAGACGTTTAGACCGGAGCTCAGACTGTGTAAGTCACGCAGGATTTCAAAGTCTCAGAAACCAAAGTAGCGTCCCCAAATGGATTCCAAATCCCTTGTTTAGTCTATCCTTTGGTACTATTTCCTTCTTATTTCTGGTCTTCTTGATCCGGAAGCATAGCAAAGATCAGAATTTTCTGGTGTGGCAAACTGGAACTAATTCAGCCGGCTTTTTTTTTTTTTTTTTAAACCGTGGCCATTAAGGTAATTATCTCAGTGGAAGTCCTTTGAGTAGGGTCCTGAAAGAACCCTAGGAATACACCCACAATATTTTTCTGTATTAAAACCACTAGAAGGAACTGTCTTTTTTGATTCAGACGCTAGTCAGTGTGCTGTAAGGTCTGAAATAGCATTTAAAAATAGATCAGCCAATTCCACCAGCAAATGCTAACAGCAAACTTTGCTAAAAGATAACCTCAAACTATTATTTACATCACAGTCTCTGTGTGTTAGGACCGTGATTTACATTAGTCAAAACTGTCAGCGAATGAACTTACACAGAGCAGCCAAGCTGTAGGGGCACTTAATGTTTCAATTAATTATGACAATTAGCTGCTTGGTTTTATTCTCTAAGCCAAGTGAGTGGGGCCAGAGATCTCTGAGATGTCTGGCAGCTCTAAAATTCTGACCTTAAATCGCTTCTGGGGTTCAGAGATTTGGGCAGGAGAGGGGAGGGACCCACGTCTTGGAAAAACAAGAACACCCGTGCTACCTGTGAGGCCCGTGTACCAGGGAACATCCTCCAGCCGTGAGTTGGGTTTCTTCGTAGTCTGGTTAAAGACACCTGGGTCCCCGGTTCCTCCCTTCAGTGGTCATGGTAACAATAGTGCGTTTCTTTGTAAATGATGAAACAGGCGCCGCTGGTTAACAAGCCCAACAGCGCGGGGGCGACCTTCCTGTCCAGGCTGGACGCTTCCCTGCGGAACCCAGCGTGCGCGCGTTTTCCACCACAGATGGACTCAAAGTCTGCGAGGGCTGGAAAGCCTAGGACGCGCTGTGCATTGGGGGGCGGAAGCAGAAGGCGCACTTGTGTCTCTCAGAGCACTACTCCTTGCCTCTGAAAATTGGCTGGGAAACGTGTGAACTCGCTGCATTTCCTAAGGCCCAAGCCCTGGCGGGTCTGAGAGCAGCTGACCTCCGGAGGGGCCAGGACCGCCCTGCAGGCTGGACCAGTACTGGAAGGAAGGGGCGGTGCTCTGGGGGGTGGTCTGTGGCCCAGGGGCCCTGCCCACGACCCCGCCCCGCGTGCACAGTCTCTGGGTACTTGGGGAAGGGCCAGTGTCTGGGGTGGGGTCCTGCCCCCGCCCACGCGTGCACAGCCCAAGGGTCCTCGTGAAGGGCCAGGTGATTTGAGGGGTCCTGCCCACGACCCGGCCCACGCGTGCACTGTCTTTGGGTGCTTGGGGAAGGACAGGTGTGTGGGGCGGGGTGAGGGTGAGGGGGGGGGGTCCTGCCCCCTCGTGCACATCCCAAGGGTCCTCAGGAAGGGCCAGTGTCCCTGGGGGGTGGCGTCCCGTTCATGGCCCCCGCCTGGGCTTGCGCAGCACAAGGACCCTCAGGAAGGGCAGGTGTGGTTTCGGGGGAGCCTCGGTGTGTCCCCCCCCCCCCCCCCCGCTCACGGGTGCGCAGCTGGCAGGTCGTTGGGCTGGTAGTCGCGAGCAGGGCCGGCCGCCACTGGGCGGTGCCGAGGCGGGGGCGGGGCGCGGCGAGAACGGTCAGCCAATGGGCACCCGGCCCCGGCTGGGCCGGCCAATCGCGGCGTGGAGGTGGTCCCGCCCTGGGGGCGGGGCCGGGGCGCGCAATTAGCTCGCTGAGGCTGGGCGGTGGGAGAGGCTCTCAGACCCAGGTTCTGGCACCTGCCAGGTGAGTGCGGCTCCGGGCCAGGAGAGGGGGGGATCCTGGGGCGGGGGTCCTGGGGCGGGGACATGAATGCGGGCCCGGGGTGGGGAGGCTGGGGTCCCCAGGCGGAGGGGGCGGGGTCCGAGTTTGGTGGCCAGCGCGGGCTGGGGGCGCGGGCGGGGTACCTGGGGAGAGGGATGCTGTGGCTCCAGGGGAGAGGCGGCGTGCTGACTGCGGGCCAGGGTGGAAGGCCGGGGTCCTTGAAGGGCGGGCCCCCAGAACTCCCACCGATCCGTGAACTCCGGGCGGCCCGCCCCCCCCCAAGATTTGCGGGACGGGGCGTGTAGAGCTCCAAGTGTCGCTTGTTCCCCAGGAACGACGCAGTTAGAGGACCGCACGCAGGCCCCCATTGGAGCGAAGTGCTGGTGTCCCCTGGCACAGACAGCCCAGGAAAAGGACCACAGGCAGCCCCCCAACTTTAGAAGGGTGTCCCCTGCGCTCTTGGGCACCCACAGTGCAGGTGATGCACCGTGACCAGCACCCCATCCCGCCTCTGTCTCCTGGGTACAGACAGTGCAGGTATAGGACCGTGAGCAGCAACCCCCCCCCCCCCAGTTGAGCAGGTGCCCGGGGACAGTGGTAAGGGCTGTCAGGATTGTGCAGGAGGGGCCTCCAGGTGAGGGCCTGGAGGCCCGAGTCACCCAGATCCCTCTCAAGCCACGTGCCGTTGATGCGTTGAAGTGTTTGGAACAATAATTTCTCCTTTCTTATAAAGACGAAGTTATTGATCTGCTTTAGGATGAAGATAATTACTACCTAAAAACGTACGTGTTTCCCCTTCTCCCGGAGTATCACTGCTCCAGAAACTGAACTCTTTATCATGTAGATTAGTTCTGAGTTTCTGAGATTTTGTCCTACTGTTTGTGTACCTCAGGGAGTTAGCTGTCTTCTGGCCTGGAAGCCTGAAGTCTTGTGCAGAGCTCCTGCGCAGGCGGAGTGTGGTGCCCCCTGGCCCCCAGGACCAGGTACTGCAGGGGTGCACCCTATGCTGGGTTCACCACCAGCCACTTGTGGCTGAGCTGTGATTTCTGTGGGTGTTTGCGGGTGGGGCCGCCCCCGCCCCCCAACTTGAGCAAGAGCTGTTTTTGAGTGTTGTCTACCGGGCATGAGGTCTGTGTGTGCAAGAGAACAATGTGCAGGGTGAGGAGATGGTGTGAGAACATGCACCTGCCTGCATGCGGCCTGGGGGGCTCGTTGGTTGAGCATCTGACTCTTGATGTCAACAGGTCAGGATCTCACCGCTCCTGGGATCGAGCCCTGAGTCGGGCTCTGCACGGACAGCTTGGAGCCTGCTTGGGATTCTGTCTCTCTCCCTCTGCCCCTCCCCTTCTTTTTAAAAAAAAAATTTTTTTTTAACGTTTATTTTTGAGACAGAGACAGAGCATGAACGGGGGAGGGTCAGAGAGAGAGGGAGACACAGAATCTGAAACAAGCTCCAGGCTCTGAGCTGTCAGCACAGAGCCCGACGTGGGGCTCGAACTCACGAACGGTGAGATCATGACCTGAGCTGAAGTTGGACGCCTAACCGACTGAGCCACCCAGGCGCCCCTGCCCCTCCCCTTCTTGAGCGCTCTCTCTCTCTTAAAAAACAAACCAAAACAAGGCCTCCTGGGTGGGTCAGTGGGCTAAGCGTCTGACTTCAGCTCAGGTCATGATTTTGTGGTTCGTGAGTTTGAGCCCCGTGTTGGGCTCTGCTGACAGCCCAGAGCCTGGAGCCTGCTTCGGATTTTGTGTCTCCCTCTCCCTGTGCCCTTTTTCCATTCACACTCTGTCTCTGTCTCTCAAAAATAAACATCGAAAAAAAAATTGTTTTAAAAAGCATGAAATGCAGTTAAAGCAGTAATTCCAGGGATGTGTGTACCTTTATGTGCTTTAACTAGAAAGAAAGGGGGGGGGGCAAGATTATTGTCTCTACAACGTCAGCTAATTAGAAATAGAATGACAGAGCATCCCAAAAGTAAAGAGAAGGGAGAAAAGAAAAATGAGAGGGTGGAAATTAATAAAGTGAAAAATAATAACACCACAGAGACGGAACACAAAGAGACTAAAAAAATGAAAGTCCCTGGCAAAACTGATCAAAGGAAAAGTGAGAGAGAGGTGGGCCAGGGCGCCAGGGAGAAGGCATAAATAAATAATCTCAGACATTGTGGTAGCACAGTTAGGGTCTCCCGAAGTGTCCATGTCCTAATCCCCAGAGCTAGGGACTCCGTGACGTCACACGGCAATAGGGACTTTGCAGATGTGATTAAGGCAAGGACCTTGAGATGGAGATGTTATCCTGGCCCAAAGTATTCTCCAGTGTCCTTAGTCTTGGCCAAGGGAGGAGAAGTGTTTGGAGTTAGGCGGTGTGATGGGGACCCTGCTCACTGCCCTTGGCTCTGAGGCTGGAGGGAGGACATTGGGCCGGGAATGCGGATGACCTCTAAAGCTGCACACAGCAAGGGGCAGATCTTGTCCCCGGAGTCCCCGGGAAGGGACACAGCCCTCCACCATCTTGATCGTGTCTCTGCGAGAGCCGTATTGCACTCTGACCCACAGAGGTATAAGGCACTAAATTTGTGTTGTTTTCAGACTCACTGTGTGATCCTGTATCACAGGAGCAGTAGAAGACCAACGCGGGCATGACGAGCGGGGCTAAGCCTGTGCACGTGGCAGAGATTAAAACCATAACAGGACCACATCATAAGTAGCTCTACAGTCCTAGAATCAGTGGATACATTCCTCAAAAAAAAAAAAAAATCTAACTTGCCAATACCGACTGAAGGAAAGTGACAAGACCTGAAAGTCCAAATGGCATTTAAAAAGTTGAGTAAGTAAAAATTTCCGGTAAGAAAATAGAAGCTCCAGTCAGTTTCGTGGACTGGTTCTACCAAATATTCAAGGAAGAGAGAATTCAATTTTTTTTTTTTACATGTATTTATTTTTGAGAGACAGAGAGAGACAGAGCACAAGCAGAGGAGGAGCAGAGAGAGAGGGAGACACAGAATCCGAAGCAGGCTTCAGGCTCTGAGCTGTCAGCACAGAGCCCCACGCAGGGCTCGAACTCACATGACCTGAGCTGAAGTCAGATGCTTAACCCACTGAGGCACCCAGGTGCCCTGGGGAGAATTCGAATTTTAAACTGTCCCAGAGAGTGGACGGAATCCACGTATTTTATGAGGTTAGACTTGATAAGAACCGTGTGAGAAATGAGATTCCAATCTCATGAACTTAGATTTAAAAAAAACCCCTGAGACAATCAGGCAAATGAATCTAGCAATCCTTTATCCTAGGAAGCCAAGATTGTTAAAATTTAGAAAATCTATTACTTTTTTTAAAGTTTATTTATTTATTTTTGAGAGAGAGTGCATGAGCGAGGGAGGGGCAGAGAAAGGGAGGGAGAGAATCCCAATCAGGCTCTGCGCCATCAGCAGGGAGCCCCACGCGGGGCTGGAACTCATGAACCATGAGATCACGACCTGACCCCAAATCAAGAGTCAGACGCTTAACCGACTGAGCCACCCAGGCACCCCAAAAATCTATTACTTTTGAATCCCCACTAGAAAAACCGCATGCTCGTTCAATAACTACAGGGAAGACACTTCGTAAAATTCAAACCCCATTAATAGTAAAAACGCCCGGCATGTGGGGGTGAAAGTGAACTTCCTTAATCTGCTAAAAGGCATTTACACTTGTATGAAATAGGAAAAAAAAAAAAAAAAAATTACCCCAGGAGGCTAAGCACAGCTGGCGGGAGTTTCTGTTGGTGCATCTGTTTGCGAAGGGATTGGGTCACCTAGTGACACTGAAGACGTGTGTGCCCTGTGAGCCAGCATCTCCGGTCCTGGGCGTCCATCCTCGGAGGGAAGGCAGACACACACGTGAACGTCCGCGGAAGCGTGTCCAGAACGCCCACCCCCTGGGGGTCACGTAAGATGTATTCAGAACTTAATTTTTTCAAAGTAGTGAAAATGAGTGAACTGTGTGTAGGATAACAAAGAAAGTCTCGGGAAAATACATGTTTGTGTACAATACCTAGAACATGCAAATCTAAGCAGTATATGAGAGATTGAGAGAGGGCCTGAAGGACTGGTAATTTTTTTTTTTTTTAACGTTTATTTATTTTTTTGGGACAGAGAGAGACAGAGCATGAACGGGGGAGGGGCATAGAGAGAGGGAGACACAGAATCAGAAACAGGGTCCAGGCTCTGAGCCATCAGCCCAGAGCCCGACGCGGGGCTCGAACTCACGGACCGCGAGATCGTGACCTGGCTGAAGTCGGACACTTAACCGACTGCGCCACCCAGGCGCCCCAGGACTGGTAATTAAAACAATAAAGACGGGGCGCCTGGGGGGCTCAGTTGGTTAAGCGGCCCACTTCGGCTCGGGTCACGATCTCACGGTTCGTGGGTTCGGGCCCCGCGTCAGGCTCTGTGCTGACAGCTCAGAGCCTGGAGCCTGCTTCGCATTCTGGGTCTCCCTCTCTCTCTGTCTCTGTCTCTCTCAAAAATAAAGAAACATTAGAAAAAAATGCCTGCCTCCTTCGTACTGCCTTCGTGCCGGCCTCACACCGAAAGCGGGCCTGCTTAGCGCCTGGAGGACTGAGCTGTTCTGCTCAAGGCGATCTCCCTTTCTCCTCCAGTATTTCGGTTCCTCAGGCCCTGTGTTCTGACAGGTAATTCATAAGATAACAGATACTGGGGCTGTGGACGCACTGAGGATGTCGGCTAAGTGATTTGCCTCTCGTCAGAACTTGGTGGCGCTTCGAGGAAAACCCGGTCGTGGGGGGTGAGGGAGGCCAGACTGGGGATCAGCTCTGATCCCTGTGAAATCTCAGCACCAACGCGTCGGTCAGCTTTGTGATGGGAAAGATACCGTTTTATCCTTTCTTTCCGATATTAAATGCTGTAAAAAGCACGATACTGCGCAATCCTGAGCCCGGCCATTGATGAAAACATCTCAGTGTGTTTAAACTGTATGACAGAGTTCAGGGGCACCTGGGTGGCTCAGTGGGTTAAGCGTCTGACTTCAGCTTGGGTCATGATCTCATAGCTCATGAGTTTGAGCCCCGTGTCGGGCTCTGTGCTGACTGCTAGGAGCCTGGATCCTGTTTCAGATTCTGTGTCTCCCTCTCTCTCTGCCTCTCCCCCTCCCCCCCTTCAAAAGTAAATAAACATTTTAAAAAGTTTTTTAAAAAAAGCAATAAACTAAAGCAAAGGAATGACAAATACAAAATTAGGTTACTTCAGTTACCACTGGGAGGGAAGGGGTCCCAAAGGAGGTACTGATCTGTTCTGTTTCTTAGTAGAAATAAACCTACGCGGTGCCTCATGTGGAACGAATGGCAGACGGTCAAAACAGCAGAATTCTGTGTAATCAAACCTGTGATCTGCCCATTACTGTAGACGGGTGGGGACTTGGAGGTGACGTAACCCAGCCCACAGACCCCGGGAGTTAAACGTTTTACACAGTCATCCAGCGAGTTGAAGCATGGCTAAGACAAAGGCGAACACCTTTGCAGCCAAATGCATGTTTTATTACCGCGGGATGTTGCTTCTTACGAATGCTGTTTAATTGGCCTGTTATTTCAATTAATAATGTCTGTCTTCAGAAGAAGAACTGCTTAGGAGATTTTAGAAAACGGTACCATTTTCCCCTCAGACGTCATTGTTGCTTATCTTCCCCAACATAGCCGTCTTGTCTAAGTATCACTTGGGAAGGAAGGAAGAAAAGGAAGGGATTAAAACAACAATGTCGTGACCATACGCTGAGTCATATCTACAAATGCTCCACACGTTGGCCGGACCTAACCCCGCAGGGCCCAGCTCTCAGCGCCAGGAAGGGTGGGGCTGTTTGTGTCTCAGAGAAGCTTCCCGGTAGTCCGCTTGTTAAACGACACAGCCAGAAATAATCTGGGGGACAATTAGATGAAAACTGAAAAAAAACTCAAAGTGATCAGAGTTAACTGAAAGGTCTGACTCGGGGTCAAGGCAGGGAAGCTGATGGTCCTGGTGGCAGCACGGCGATCGCGGGCAGTCGCCAGGGCGCTGGCTGCCCTGTTGTGAAGGTGGCTTGTGACGCATAGGCTCACTTTTTACGTTGGTGGCTCAGTCGGTTAAGCGCCCGCGTCTTGATTTCGGCTTAGGTCATGATCTCGCAGTTTGTGAGTTCGAGCCCCCAGTTGGGCTCCTTGCTGACAGGGAGGAGCCTGCTTGGGATTCTCTCCCTCTCTGCCTCTCTGCCTCTCTCTCTCTCTCAAAATAAATAAACATTTAAAAAAATACTTTAAAAAGTGATAGAAAATAATAGAACTAACTGTAAAATTATTTAAAATTTACATTAAATGTTGATGCCCCAAAAGATGTAGGTTTAACTAGAGAGGAACAAAGGATCATGCTTTGAGAATCTGAAAGCAGGAAAAAGAAAGACAATTTAAAACTCAGTGTTTATGTAAAACTCTTCCAACTGTACCTCTTTTCCGTGCCATCCACTCAACTTAAAAATGAACCATCTTGGGGTGCCTGGGTGGCTCAGTCGGTTAAGCGGCCTACTTCGGCTCAGGTCATGATCTCGCGGTCCGTGAGTTCAAGCCCCGCATCAGGCTCTGTGCTGACAGCTCAGAGCCTGGAGCCTGTTTCGGATTCTGTGTTTCCCTCTCTCTGACATGCTCCCCCGTTCATGCTCTGTCTCTCTCTGTCTCAAAAATAAATAAACATTAAAAAAATTTTTAAAAAATGAACCATCTTGAGGTACAATTTACCTGCTATAAAATTAACATACCCGTTTTCACTTAACAGCCAGATGAGTTGAGAAAAACGCATATGCCATGTATGCGCCCTCCCAACCACGACAGACAACACCGCCTTCACCCCAGATTTTCTTATGTCTCCCCAGACAACTCACCGGCTCCCCCGGGCCACGTCAGCCGTTTAGAGCTTCGTGTCAGTGGGAAGACACATTCCCGCATGTCTGACCTCTTTCGTCTGGCATAATGTTTGGAGATTTATCAATACTGTTCTTTTTTATTACTGAGTATCGTGCCGTTGTCTGAATATAACCAGATCTGTTTATCTGCTCACCTATGGATGGGTTGTCTCTACCCGGGGGCTCTCTGGAAGAAAGCTTCCAGGCTAATTCTTCTATAAGACTTTTGTGCACACACATTTTTATTTAGTTGGGGTAAGCACCAAGAGTGGCAATCCTGGGTCGGCGGTGAGTGTAGGCGTGATGTGTGACAGACCGCACCCAGTGCTGCGGGTTAAACGGACTGTTTGGGCTCCTGTAATCACGTGTGACCATCCTACCTTCTCCACGGACTTGTCGGCACTTGGTATTGGAGACTTCACCGCATTCTCAATCTGGAGCGTGAACACCTCATTGTATTTCTTTTTTTTTAAAAAAGGATTTGTTTAAGTAATCTCTACATCCAATGTGGGGCTTGAACTCACAAGTCAAGAGTCGCATGCTCTATGGACTGAGCCAGCCGGGAGCCCCCACCTCGTTTTAATTTAGTTAGAATAGGGCCGGAGGGTCACAAGCAGAGTGAAGAGAGGCTCACGGGAATGAGGGAGTCCTCAGGTCATTGGGGAAATGACTCCTCAGCCACAGGGGTCCCTCTGGGGGAGCGGAAGCCGTCCTGGGAAGGTGGTGGGTTGGGGTTGTCCACCTGCAGGCTGGAGGGTTGGCCCAGGAGCTGAACCTTCTGGAGCAGGTGGGATGAGGGGCAGCCATCGGCCCAGGTGAGACTGTTCGGCCAGCTCGAACACAACCTCCCTTGGGTCGGTTTGATCAAAGTCTCATCAACCGCCGCCT